ACCGCTAACTCTTGGGCTACTTTTTTACCAACGAATAGTGGGATTGACCGTCACATTATAACGCCCCCACGGTTGAAAGGGCGAGCATGTTTGGTGGGACGGGGATTCGAACCTGCGACCCGAAGATTGCGAGTCGAGCTCCCTAACCACCTGGCCATGCCGGGCCATATATAGGGTAGGAGGACGATAGTTTCCAAGTGTCCATTTCAACAGTCCAGATTTAGAGTTTTTACTTAACTTCAGCCCAGGTAATGTTCCTTTCTCAGTTCTTTAGATTTTCTCTGGGTTTTTTATATAATTTTAGATTTCGTTGATATTTTGAAAGTGCCCGATTTTGTTTGTATTTCTTTGGTTTCATTTATGTTGCAATTTCATTTTCCAGAGCACGTCCTGAAGGATCGTCTCTAGGTGACCTTTTTGGTAAGATAATTTAGAATGCTAGCATAATGGTTAGTGTTACATTACAAATTTATAGAAAATATAAAATACATTCCAAGTTACCCCTTACGAGTTTTGGAAAAACCATCTGAGTGAAATTTGGTTGACCTTGAAGGGAATTTTTGTTAGTAGTGCAGTAGGTCTCTACAAGGAATATGACCACCACATCTTTCCTTTATTAATCTTGGATCTAGTTCAAAACTGACTTGATGATCGTATTATTACTTTTGGACTAACAAGAACTAAAGATGACACTAGAAATCCTCTTACTGCTGTTTCACAGTTAGAAAATTACACAAACTGTGTGCCACTTTTTATTATGGGAGCTCTAACGGAGGTAAAATCGAAAGTCCCTGTCAAAATATCTATAATATGAGGCAAATCTTAAGTATTCTCTTTCTTGGTTATAGGTTGAGGCTACTTTCTCAGGATTCATTTCTTTTTCATTTTGATGTTTAGGGAATCTTCAGAAGCTCACCTCGACTCTCATTAGTATAGAATTAAATGATTTGAGCTTCAGACTGGCTTCTTGGAGTCGTTGTAGTGCAAAGTCGGGGTTCTATAGCTAGTACCTTCTCAGACTTTCCTTCGAAAAACGGGTTTTTGATCAATGCAAATGAAGTACCTAACCAATGGAGAAGCTCTTGGGGTTAACTCTATGAATTTTTAGAATGCAGTTAAGGCTTAAAATAAACTAAATATAATATGTTTAAATTACAGAGTTCGTGATTGTAGAATTAAGTCTACTTGTTGGTATTAAGCCATTTATTTCAAGAAGCAGATCCAATGAGATCCTGCTAAGGCATTTAAACATTTTTTCATTTAGGTTTCAAATAAAGCATTCTTTCAAGGATGAAATGTTTATTTGTTAAGTCTTCATAGAACTACAATGTACTTCTTTTTTCATATTTTAGAATGCCTATAAATTCGGGCTGGGCACTGTCCAACGACTGAGTTACCTGCTCATTTTAACATCTTATTCAACTCTTGATTGACTATTTATCGGGTGGTGCAAAGTAGTATTCAGCTGTTTCAAGGCTTGATCCACAAATATGTATCAATACATTATTGGGTTATAAAAATACGTGTTAGTAATCGAAAAAATCATTCAGATACTGTGAAAGCAGATGAAATAGTATCTTCTTTTGATTTTATGACTACGTTTATTTCATCAACTAATGGTTAAAGATGTGAGGCAGCTGTCTCCTCGATAATCTTGACAAACAACATCTCTGGACTGGCCAGCACATAGTTACATCTACTTCTGGAGGTATTCTTGGATTTTAAGTATTCTAAAATACATAATTGTTGGTAGTAAATAAAGCTTAGTATGGCGGTAATTTCTAGCATCAGGATGTTGACTTTCTTGTAGTAAAATGTTTGCCAAATCTAGGATTTGTTCTAAAATTACAGTCATTAGTTTTAGGGAATGTTTTTTTTTTTCATCCTCATTACGATTCAAGATTAGCTAATGTCACTAGAATTTCATCACTTAGATGTAACTATCTATATCACTTTTCATAGTTCATCACTGGCTCACTTTAGATTTGGACTCAACTTCAACATGTTGACAAAACATTAAGGTAATAAACAATGTGTATCCAAATGTACTTGTTTGATTTAGTTATGCTATAATTTAACATTTTGGTGAGATAGATTACATGGTTAGAACTACATGTTCATACATTATTTTTAACATGTTGGTGAGATAGATTACATAGTTAGAACTATGTGATCATACATTATTTTTAACATTTTGGTGAGATAGATTATATGGTTAGAACTATATGATCATACATTATTTTTAACATTTTGGTGAGATAGATTACATGATTAGAACTACATGTTCATACATTATTTTTAACTATGTCGGTGAGATAGATTACATAGTTAGAACTATATGATCATACATTATTTTTAACATTTTGGTGAGATAGATTACACGGTTAGAACTATGTGATCATACATTATTTTTAACATTTTGGTGAGAAAAATAATGTATGATCATATAGTTCTAACCATGTAATCTATAACATTTTGGTGAGATAGATTACATGGTTAGAACTACATGTTCATACATTATTTTTAACATTTTGGTGAGATAGATTACATGGTTAGAACTATATGATCATACATTATTTTTAACATTTTGGTGAGATAAATTACATGGTTAGAACTATATGATCATACATTATTTTTAACATTTTGGTGAGATAGATTACACGGTTAGAACTAGATGATCATACATTATTTTTTATTTTTGCACTATATTTCTTCAGAAGGATTATATGCATTATTTGTCTAAGAATTTTCAATCTTTATATAATTCAAAGTTTAATTCCAAACCTATGAGCGTTTTTGGGCGCTAAATATTTGTCACTTATAGTATTAATAAAATTTTATGGAAAACTGCTCTTATGTGCGAAATTATAAAAAAGGAGTTTTATTTACTTGAACTAGAAACTTACTGAAATATCTTTCGATAAATCCCACTATTTAAATTCATAAACTTATTTATCAGACAATACATTTGCATGAAACATCTTTGACAATGAAAATATGATGGATTAGCAATACTTAGATTATATTCTTTCAAGTCAATTATGTTGTAGAAAATGTTCTTAAGATACAGAGATTAGACTAATAAAACAAGCTTGTGTACAATAATCTAGTACAAAAAAGTATAATCTCATGAAAACAAGAATTTCTAAGAAAACACCTTTTTATTGATAGTTTAAATAAACCTTTAGAGATTTATTTCATAATTTCACAATGTTGAAGATACCACTTGTAAACGTTGGAATAAACTTAACTTTAATTGCTTTAATAATTAAAGCATAAATAATTTTTGGTATTGTATTTGTTGTTATATTTATAATATGACTGAACTCCTTTTCACACTTTTGATTATAATATATTGTTACGACAGCGGAAGTCACGGGACGCTGGAAGCATGCGTGCTGAAGTTTCTAGAAGGATCATGACTTTTCCTGGCAACTCTAGTCTGTTCTAGGCGCTCTCTTTTTTAGTATATAAGCCCGGCAAATAAAGCGGAGATATAATTGCAGATAGATAGATATAGCGACAGATAATTGAGTCAAGCGAGC